AATGTTGGAGTGCTTTTCAACAATAGGTGGTGGGAATTTATTGGTGTGAATAAAGGAATGCTTTAAGTGGTTAATTTCTTCATTTATGAAGTCCGTTGAACAGAGTCTTGTGGCTGTATTTATGAGGTTTTTAAGTGTATTGATTTTTTGTCATGAGCGGAATTCCAGGGGATGTAGAGACCAGTGTGTGTGTTTTTGCGGTGAATTTTTGTTTTAAACTGTGTGTCAGATCTAATAATTTTGAGGTTAAGAAAGGATAACTGTTTATTTTTTTCGTGTTCTATGGTAAATTTGATGTTGGGATGAATGGAATTTATGTGTTTAAAGAAAGTTAGTGTGTGTTCTGTAGAAGTGAAACCAGCAAAAGTGTCATCGACATATCTGTACCAGTATAGTGGGGGATGAAATATAGATTGTATGGCTTGTGTTTCGATCTGGGTAATGAATATATTGGGTTTGGTTGACTATATTAACAGTCTTGTTTGAGAATTCTTTGAAAAAGTTATTTAAAATACAGTTTTTGGGAACTTTGGGAAACCACATTTTGTTGTAGTTACCTGTGATAAAAGTCTGTTGGTTGATGTCATGGATTTCTTCTTTCTGTAGTTGGAGGATGTTTGAGGTAGAGGTGGTGTTTTGTTATGTTAAACTCATATTAAAGTTTTTCTTCATTACCCATTCAAGCCGTCTCCAGCCATTATTAGTATATCAGATATGTTTTGAAAGGATCCTAAGTTGAAGCTTCTAATATCTACATTATTCATTCAATAACCTGAGTAATAAAGTGTTTACTTTTGTAATTTATTGGATTAAAGTGAACAAAATCAGTAACTAAATATCTCCTAAAATATACCTATATCTACAGGTTCTGATAGCAGAAAAGGCAGGCTATGATGCAGCAGTAATTTACAACAAAGGAATTGGTGGTCTACGGTCAATCGGTGCAAGAGACAAGTTATCTTTTGGTAGGTCCTCACTATCATCTTTTTGTTCTTCATTTCTCTGTCATGTTATTGCTTTGTACCTTTTAGATGTTCATTTTTTATGCTAAATTTGATTAACCTTCTCTGCCCAAACATCATTTACTGCGCATGAGGTTTTATTGAACTACTCTTTGTTTATGTTATACCAATTAGTACAGCATAAAATCATAGCCAATAATCCATATATTAATGGTATATAAGTTTTCAGTTCTTAGTTGTATAAGGCAATATTTAAAAAAATCCTGAATTTCCCCTA